AAGCAGCCTTTAATTTCATCTACCTTCCGCAAAGTTTGTCGTACGAAACGTCGAAATTTTACTGACTGGATAACGCTACAATTGGTGTTTATGTTACTGATGCAGCGACACACAAGACTTCGCACGTTATAGTGAAGTATGCTTGTAATGGCATTACCTACATAGTAAATACAACGCTAATTACAAAAAGTCGTCATTATCTTTTCATTGCGTACTTACAAGAAAAAAGTTTACCTTTTTGTATTACTTCTCATACTAAGTACTGAATATTCCACCTAGTACTCACTTCTACTTGCGCTCTGTAAAATACTTTCTACAATATTCGCAAATGACTCTTAAACTTTTGTCACATGAAACGGCAAAACAGAAGGCAAATACAGTTTAGAAGTTAGGGTATATTTGCAGTTATTGACACAAAATATATGTGCATCTTCCATTTTCAGACAAGGAAATTCTCAAAGTAATTCAGGGTTGCGCGCAGTGCACTAATAGTGTATTCATTACTATAATTATCCTCCCTGCAGGGTTCCTTTACTGAACTTTCACACGGCACACTACTTGGTAGTAACGGATCCCGCCAAAACCATCTGCGACACAGCCGAAGTACTTTGTCAACTAAAAGCATTAATTTAAATATTAGTAAGAGTTTGATTTACCTGTAAACTGAGGAATTTGAGTGTGACACAGCAGCATACGCCGGCAAGGTATTCTTTGTGCCCTAAAAATTCTGCAGGTACAAGTTGAATTGGTATAATCCGCTTGGTGCAGGTATGTGCCGTCAGTTGTGATAGCCATATCATCAGCATACAAGTCTATGCTCATTCGACGATTACGGCTATAGTCCTTGGAAATTAAGTTAGTGGCATAAGGAGTGAAGTTTCCTAATATCGGCATAACTGGTTCCGGTGCGTGGTACTTATGAATCCGACAACTTTCGACGATGACTTCAACACTCCGACGCTTCTCTGTGCGTAAACACCATTTATACGTTTTGTACATACATACGTGTAGGGGATCTCTTCTGTCGAGATATCGTTTTAAATGACCGTGAGAGCTTTCAACTCTATTGTTGGTACTATTAAACAGCAACAGAGTATTCGGCATATATACCGCAGCCCACGTCTCCTTCTTAGGCACCCAGTAACGTCTGACATAATTCCATACCCTCCGGTCAACCATCCTAATGACACTAAGGTAGTGATGAAATCTAAATGGTTAGAAATCAATGCATTTTCCTATCAGGTGTTGCAGCTTTAACAAGACGATATAAAAACCTGCGTACAAAAGGATTTCGAGTCTAAGTGTATCAAGTATTAATTAACTTCACCTCACCTTCCTGCTGAAAGCCCGGCATAGATGGAATGCACAGATGACGATTTTCGCCTGAATGTGACTATTACGCACGGCGGATATCTCACAGTTGGCCGAATCCATTACTAAAGTTTCTGTAATGGACGTATCCTGCTTTGTTCTTTTGAATTCTTCCAAGATCCAAACTACAACACATGACCTTTCTCGTCTCCTCCATGCCAAAAAACAGGCCTCCCATGACCCATATTGTCTGTTACCACCAACTGAAACAGAGAATATCTGATTAAGATTTGTCAACCGTTTCACGTATAACCTATCCGTCCTTATTGGTATTGTATATTGAGTCAATACACACCACCTCCCCATATTTATGATATAACTGCACCTGTGAATCCAGGGCGAAGCAAATTCTGCTAGTTATCCCTGTATTCGAATCTACGTATTCAACCACCTGACCGCTTTGCCTTATTATGCGCATAACGTCTGATCTCAAAGGCACGGCTTCAAAAATAACTTTAAACTTCTTCAATTACCTGGTCTCACATCCTTACGTAAATTATGCACATCTGTGCTCGTCAAAATTTTATTACAGTTCTCTTCAGCATATTCCAAAACATCACCAACTTCAGATGTAATCCTCACAACTGGTGCAATGTTCTCCTTTTCATCCCCGGACAGGTGTCTAAAATATGGATCACCTATCATAAGACTTTGTTCACATCTGTGATTGTGAACTGTTTTCGCGGCACAAATGACAAACTCGTCCTCCCTGTAGCGTATACGAAAGCCAGATTGGCAACCGGGAATTTGCATTGCAGAAATAAATAATTGAATTCTTACGGTTTGACGCATAAACCTGAACCTCTAGTTTCTTGCTTCATGCCATATGTACAACGAAAGACTACAGATTTGTACTTCAACTCCCGAGATTCATGGTTCCGTACGCACTTCTTCATTACATAATGTGTATGAGTTGCCTAGGAGTACTCTGTCATACATATATATATCGTACTGATTCTAGCTGACTTAGGGCATCTTCTACTTGGACCCAACTGGTATATCAGTGACTAAACATAATTCCGTCAAAAAGTTTTTTGATGTCCACTGATATAAGAAGGGCAGGTTGGTTGCCATTGTCTCCAGGTGCCAATGCGTTCATTGGGTATCACTGTAAATGAAAACAGAAGCTTTTGAATAAGAAATTCACGAATCGCCAACAGAATACAACGAGCAACTTGAAAGTGACATTGACTTGGAAACTGTAGCGGAATTCATTACCACAATTACCGTTTTGGAAAGTTCCTGATTATAGCCACAAACATTTACTGAAACACTCGTGAACGACGAATATGGACACAAGTGATAAAACGAAGCTCTACAGAAATCATTGAGACGCCACAAACAGGAGTTAACACCCAGGATAATCTTCACATGAAACACATTCTCAAGCATCCTCCTGCACGATAAATGCCTTCAGGCTTAGAGACAGCTTTTGAAGACTGTTATTAACAAAATCAACACAATTCAAGCCAAATAAAAACCAGAATCATGTCAAATGCAACTACCTGGGTCAAACGAAATAAATCAGGTAAACTGAAATCAACTAGACCGCGCAATTGTCCTCAAGGTAAAGCTGGAGGCGTCACTTCAAACAGGGGATATGCCACATCAACGCCCCATGAGGAGGATGTGGACCTCATAAAACATCCTCTAGCGCTAGGAAGAAGCAATCATGTTGTGCTAGAGCCGATTCAAAATGACTTAACCCGGATAACTCAAAACTTTGTTAATTACTCCTACCCAAATGGTCGAAAACAGTTCCCCGTGGCTAAACCAAGATATTCGTAGGTCACTCAGGTGTCAGAATAAATGTTAAGACCATTGTGTCACAATTAAGACTTCTGAGAGCAGAAGGTTTTACACCATTGCTAGAAACCAAGCTGTTCCTGAAATTCGTCAATCACGAATGAAGTTCGAAATGCATCTAGCAAAAAGTTCAACGACAGAACCTAATAAAACTTTTTCGTATATGGACTTCAGGCATAAGGCACTCAATAGGGACCTAAACCTGACTTGTGACGTAACAACACAATCGAAGGCAACCAGGAAAAGACGAAGGCCATGGCACAATACTTATCCAGAGTCTTTACAGAAGAGTTGCCACCTTTCCTCATAGCATCAACCATGTCTACCTCAGTTGAATACGAGTTAAATTTCATCTATCGAAGTATTCTCTAGGTAAACTCGATGCAGAGAAGTCAGTAGGGCTAGGTAACCTTCACAAAATGTTCAACAAAGTGCTGGCAATTCACACTGACTTCAGCTTTCGAGCTATCTCTCGTCAGTGGAGTGTTACCCTATGGCCGGAAAGACACCGTCGTAAACCCCATACACAAAGGAAGATCCAGACATTATCCACCGAACAACAAAACTATCAGTCTCACCAGCATCCTAATCAAGATGCCGGGGAGAATCATCAGGAAAGCTATCATGGCATAACCAGAAAACAACATGCTGTCCAGAGCACGACATGACTTCCAGAGAAACCTCTTATTCCTGACAAACCTTCCTGCAGGAAGAGAAAGCTGACTGAAATCTAGGAACCACAGAAAACCTACCGAGGTCATAGACACCGATAGAGTACCTCACACAAGACTGCTTGTGAAATTCGGTCAAAAATTAAAGGCATTTCATTAGGAATAGGGGATTCTTCCTGTTGGAGTCAGATTGTCAGGATTATCTCAGAACTCTCCCGGAAATTGGTACATAGTGGAGTGCCACAAGGTGGCGCACTTGGATCCCTCCTGTTTAGCTTGTAAGTTAACGATTTACCTGTGCTCACTGAGTTCCCTCTGACACCCCACGCATATGAATTGGAAATCTGAAGAGGGCAGAAGGGCGATGACAACATGCTCAGCAAAAAATGAATGCTCTCAATCAACACAGCGAAATGCGAACATTAGACACGCGGATGTCAGCTCATAGGAAATGGAGAGAAATCTCCCCCCATTATTTCAGATTCACATGGACCTAGACATCAAAAGAGGCCACGGTTTATTAACCACTGTACAGAGCCGTGCGGCGGCAGCTCAAAGCTTTAGGTCTTTGCGCGAAGTATGTGGAGGATTTACAAGAATCACCCAAGATATGTTCGCCTCTTTATATGCATTCTTGTGGATGTCAAGACTGAAAATCTGCAATCAGAAAGCCACTTCTTTCCTTAAGAGGAACTCGTTAATTCTAGGAAAAGTTCAAATGAATGCAACACGTACGATTCTCAGGATGACCAATATATCATACTTTGGAAAATTAAACAGTTTAAATTTCTTCCCCCTGTCATATCGTAGGCAGACAAGTCTCATAACAATGTTTAAAATTTTCAACAGTGACTACGAACCCGATCTATTTCCTCTTTTTCCCAAAGCCAGTTCTTAACTTCTTAAATGAAATGGCAGGAGATTTTAAAAGCTGTGGAGAAACTGTATCACTATGGATTACTGTTTCTCCCACACAGTCCTTAACACTTAAAACCGACTCCCAGAAGAAGTAGTGTCAATGCTCTCAACCGACCAACTCAATAAAGGTTTAAACAAGCACAGAAACTTACCAGAAAAAGGCCGACACAAGCATTTAGCCTCCAGTCTTTGACGAATAAATCTGAACATATTGGATTTATGAAGCATTCTGCCGCTAAATTGAACGGAGGCGTTACTGTACTATTAACAGCACTTCATGGCTTCAGTAGTCTATCTCTTCTCTCAGGTCATGCTACTATCTTTAGCGTCCACAGATAACTTTTAAGTATATTTCACTGTCACATGCAGTTGGATATAGCTACCGTCATCCATGTTCTTCTCAGACTCAATAAATGTTTTCGGAGCTTTTCAGGAATTCCAATAATTTGATGCGTTTCTTCAAAATCACTCTATTAGGCCTACCACGAAATATTTTGTTTGTGTGGGTTTTGGTGCAATATTTGGAAGTCAATGTCGACATTACAATTACATTCAGCTTCTTAATAATTAATATGTTGTTTTTGGTGATAGTCTCTAGACTAGTTGTGTACACCCTAATTAGTCTTCTTTTCCTTCTCTGGACGAACTTTTTTTAAAGAATGTGGCTTATAGACCTCAACACTTAGTTTGTAACTGTTGTGTATCACGTATATATAGATTAGCCCAATTGGAAAATTGTGCAAGCGAAAAGCTACATTTGTGAAAAAAGGCTGACAAAAAGTGAGACATTTTTCATGTGGGAATTAAATAAAATATAGGCTAAAAAAAGGAAAACATCGGAAAAGTGTCTTGTCCGCGAAAGGTTATATCTGCTTCGGTCAGTGCAACTAGATAGAATCAGGAGTTATTACAAACCCCCACAAAACTACTTTGTTGTTGTTACCAGCGGTCGTTCAGCGATGATCGTGTTCGAAGACAAGACTTCATAATATGCTTTGATTAAAAAAGTGATTTATGTTATACTGGTATACAAAAACTTTCCCCGATATGCTCACTACTTATTCTTTCACAGTTAAACGTATATTGTAATAACGCAAAAGACAAGCATATAACCCTGGGGCTTTTGCCCTGCATAACATGACCTTTTTGTATATTGCCGCTTTCAGAACGTTTCCAGTTGGTCTAAGCTTAATCTCGCAAATTACGTTGTGCGGCAATGCTGCAAATAACACTTTGCATACACTTATCGCTATATTCCTGTATGTCAGAAAAATAAAACAAGATTGTGTACATATATAAAGTCAAAAAGGCATTTTTCATATTGTAAATTTATCTCATCAAATTTTTCTGCTACCCCAGAAGCAGTAGCAACTAAGACAGCCATACTTCCCTTCACTGCTGGTTTGAAACAAAGATGGGAGGTGGTTGCATGTCGTTGCTAAACTTTATTTGTTTTTACATGCTTATGAAATTTTAAGCTGCAACTTCTCATGGATCCCCGCTTTGTAGGATGTATCATTTTCAACCAACCATGTGGCTTAATTTGTCAAATTCGATTCTGCTAATACAGTAAACAAGGGGGACTAGTTTTCGAAATATCCACATTGTCGTCCCAGAAATCTTGTTAAATGCATCTGCTGTATCTCAGTCTCACGTTGAGATCACTACATCATGCCATCTTTATGGGGTTTTCTGTGTAAGAGACTTAAAACAACTGTTTTGCCAGCTTTTTGCTACTGTAACTCAATGGATACTAAAAGTTAGGCGAGAGATATAGGGCCAATAAAATTTCATTTATTTTCAGCTCAAGGTGGCTTTGTCACATTCTGGCCTCCAGTTTTAGTAATATGGGGTCGTTTTATGGGTTGGATATCGTATATAACTTGGTTACTGCCTAAGCTTAGAAGAATTCTAGTTTCCAAATGGAGATACTGCTTAGGCATTCACTTATGGACTCGAGTCCCACCCTACGTACTCCAGTCTGGGTAACTGCGTAGTGTCATCATCCTTCACGTGAAAAGTGTGGCTATTAGCCTGATACATGAGAAATCTGTTTTAGGTAATTGAACCTAAACAACCTTCAAATATTACCAAATTGTTCATCAAGTCAGTTTTGTTTTATATTATTACTATAGGTATTATCATGAGCTGTAATAAACAAAATCACCCAGGTGACTCAGAAAAGCCGCTTCATGAAACAAATGAAATGGAGAGGATGCAAAAAGCCATTTGTGAAAACTTTGACAAGTCAATCGTATTATGGAGTCCAGGTGATATCAGCAGCATGGTCTTAAGTGAAGGTTTCAATCTACACAGAATGCCAAAGAATTACCTTACCAGAAAGTCATATATTGAGAAACTTATTTATCATGCAACAATGTCTGATTCATTAAAATCCCCTTTTGCTGGGTTGGTTCCTTCTATTTGTTCATGGTAATAATCATCTTAACAGTTTCAAAATAGCCAATGATTACATAGAAGATCTGGACAACATCGATGTAATCAGTGGGATCAAGGTACCTTATTTTGCTTTAATGCCTATTAATCTGTGGTTTTTCTAGACGTTTAAGTCATTTATCCGATCATTCTTCAAAAATAATACCCGTTCGTCGACCATAATCCATAGGGTTGGTGGCACATGGCTACTGGATGAATTCGATATTGATTCGTTCCTGTTAACCGGTGGAGAATGTGTACGTAAATAAAATATTTTCTGAAATTATTATGGTTTTGTAGCGTGAGTGGTTATGGCTCCGCGAGTTTTTAAAGAAAGAAGATTATCGTTTATGTTTAGACTCGCTTTCGCGGAGCGTTTTGATTTCTCACGACCTTGAGTCAAAATTCCTATATCATACGTAAGTGTATGAATTTATTTTTAAGTTATATTTAACTTTCGTTACTAGGGTCTTCCAGTTACCCGAACTTGGGCTACGAAAGATGCGAACTTCACAGCCAAAGAGTTTGCCTTCATCAGGTGAAAATGATTATATTACCAATGAAGTTACTCAAGATGTAGTTCTCAATAACTTTGGGCTAAGTTCGGATGTGGACGAATATTCCTATATATTAGATTCTGCATCTACAGACGATGTAGCTAAGGCTACTGGTGCAAACCAAAGCAATAAGAGTCAGTCGTTCCGGTCATCATGGGTCACAAATCCAGATATGTATCTCCATACTGCTGAGTGGCAGTTAAAAGATTTAAGCTTTCTTGTAGGCTCTGATATGCCTATTTTTGGCACACCAAAACACCCATGTATCAGCTTGAAGTTAAGTCCACTGCATGAGTCTATTAATGTTCTCACTGGTGTAGATGTGTGGTTAGAAAATATTATCAATGAAGTTCCCGAAGTTGCCATGTGTTACCACCATGAAGGTATTGTAATGCAAGAGTATGAAATTTACAAAACTTGTGAAATTCCATCCATTGTCGGATTTGAAACTGAACAAATTAACCGAATAATACGTAATTTAATCATGTTTTTGAAACGGAATGCAACACAAGAGGGACATACCTACTGGTTAGTGAAAGAACCTGGTTTAGGGGTAGTTAAACTTTATGATCTAACAACGTTGGGCTACAAAGAATTTCTGAACAAATGTGCACAAGACCCTCATAGTCGAGAAGCATATATGAAAGGTAAGAATTTCAAGATAAATTATTGCACATGGAAACTGATATCACACATTGAATTCCTGTGCTGTTTTCTTTGCTGCTTAGTGTACATTAGATCATTTTTATTTTGAGTAGTGAGACTTTTTTTTCAAATGTCTAGTTGTCGTCTGAATTGTAATTTGTAAAAATGCAAGACAAAGTTTCCGTTTTTGCATCTCTCACTTTCCTGAAATTCACATTCAACACACTATTTCTCCCTTTACCGAGAATTAAACGAATGTAAAATATCCCCCCAGTTTCACAAAATTGATGTGTTCGAGATTCTTTACTAGTCGACCGGTACAGTCATGTAAGGTGTCTATCAAATGTAAAATATTTCAAGAGTAGCGTGTATTGAAAATAAATAAGTGTAATGACTACTTTATATAACTGAAGAGTTGTTCAACTCTAGTGATGGTTGATGAAATTGGGGATTGTAAACAAAATGTCTGAATAGTCTTTGTTAAATTGCTCCTTTGGCACCGTACAATATCTGAAAGACTCTTAACTGATATGTATTAAACTCAACAGTTATATCGTATTTATATATCTCTGCTGCTAGAAAGGTTCCAGTTTCTCAGTTACACTTATTATAGTGCCACTGGAATAAGTCACTCTATGAAGTTGTAAACCTGAATCGTTTATATGACTGACTGAGGAATGTATCACACTCACTATACTTGCATTCACTCTGATGTAGACTGTCCAGTGTAACAGCGAAAAAAAGACCAGTATTGAGAGCAAGGAAATAGATTATTTATGGCTTTCGTTGCGTAAATAAGTCTCTGCTTCTTAGCTGTAGTTTGAGAATTTTGGTGAAGTAATTCAGAAACCTGTTATAAAATGCATAAACATTTTTTAAATTTTACAAATTCCTGTTTCTTACTTCGCATTTCATTCCTGACTAACTAGTTTTCTCCTGGTGACTTTCTTTCTATAGTGGCTTTCTAAGCTATTAGTACATTCTTCAGTGGTCCACTTCATTTAATACCTATCCTCTTGAAGCTTGAAGACCTTTTTAGAATTGATATTTGTAAGTGACAAAAAGCTACGGATGAAAAATTCATATTTGTTGATATGTATATCAGGAAATTCAATCTTGAATGTTGAAGGAAGTGAATCTATACAAAAACTTTGATACTGTCAATTTCCCCACAGCTTTCTATCATTCATCCTTCTCATAACTCTCCACCTTAACCATTTCATAAATTATTTGAAGAAAGGTGGATATAATGAATGTAGGATAAAAAGGAGATCTGCATCCTGACTAAGAGTTTTAATGACAGTTAATACACTTGCCTGTTAAAAGCAAAAGGAATAATATACCGTTCATGTCTTAATTTTTTTACCACACTCGAGACTTTTTTAAAATATTTCTTTCTCTTCTTTTCAGATAACAATCCATTTATTCTGCCTGTTGCTACATTATGCTATAAGTTAGCTGAAAGACGTGTCAAAGAGTATACAGACTATCGTGAAGCGCAAATTCTTCAGTCAGCCTCTGAATCATTTACTGCATCAGCAACAACAAAATCATCACAACCACCACCACCCCCATATTCATCTGAAGGTGGTTTTGATGAAGTAAATACAGTCATGGATGCTTTACGCTTATTAAAGAATTGTTTAAATTTAATATCAATTCATGAAAATTTATCGTATCCATCAGATATGTCAAAATTATCATTTACTTCATCGTTTTCACAACATACATCTCCAGGAGTAAATGATTTAAAATTTCGTGCTGTAGTTTTACTCTGTCGACTGTATTCAATTACGCCTACAAGTGTTATTACAACATGCTTTAAAAATTTACAAGGATTAATCTGTTCAAGTCGTGAGGTAATTTAATCTAGTTGAATGTAAATATCTTTTTTTTTCTTATACAAAGATTTCTTACCTAATTGAATATTGTAACATTTTATTATGTTCTGACTTGTTTTATCATTGAACTGTTGCATATTTTCTACTAGATTTGGTTGAATTAAAATGAAAACGAAACGAAAATTTTCAAATACTACTAATAGCTTTTAATTACTTAACCTCAATTTAATCAACGAACTTCTCATCATTCGTACTTATATTTAAGTAATTGTTAAGTTTAAGGTGTCGGTGATTCAATGGTAGGAGAGACACCGGCCATGTGTGAGGTCTAGGTAAGATTTCCGGCTGACGCAATCCTAAACCTCGCCTACTTTACTAGCTGGTAGTAGGGTAGAAAAAGGGGTAAGGTTGAGTGTATGGCTAGAATCCCATCCTGTAAAAAACAACACCCCTATTGAAATAACAAAGATTAAAGTCCTATGATGCAGTCGGAAAGCAGGGTATGGAAACAAAAATCAAGTTCAAAGCGATCGATGTTTGTGTCAATTACTTGTAATATTGACTCTAATGAACTTTGTGTCAAATTTAATAACCACATCGGTTGACTTACACTCCTCACCTAACACTCCAAGCCTAACTTCAATATTGCTCTCCACTTAACATAGAAGATAAGGCGCAAACTTCTCTTGTCAGAAACAGCTAACCTCTTCATATCTTCCATTTTTAATGGCTATGTCTCACAGTCACAAGGGAGGACAGAGCGGACTGCTGCTCAGTATATGCGTCTTTTGATTGACAGCCGAATATCACGTCTGCGCCTAAGATGATTATTCATTTTATTTTTATTATAACTTGATTCCATACAGTATTTTAGTACTAGTATGGAATTTTCAGTATGTGATACCAGTAGGCCAAATTTAGCAGGCCGACCATCGATATCAGGTGTGCGTCAGCCGGGGATCGAACCCCAGACCATGTGCATGGTCGGCGAGCGTCCTAACCTCTGTGCCACGCCACGGATGCACAGATATTATTATTATTGAAATCCCTAAACATTCCCAGATTTTGTTACTCATTACTTCAATCCTTCTTAGTAATGCTTATTTTAAAGTCACCTTTTTATTGTTCACTTCATACCAAAAAGTATGATAACTGAAAATAGTGCACCTTTTTAAACTGTGTTGTATACCTCTCACCTATATATGTGAACAAAAGAAATGTGAAAGGATTCAGACTGATCGATTGTATATCAGATATTATTCGGCATAGGTGTTATAGGACACGTTCCTTTACCTTATTATATTCTGTCGCTGTTGTTGTTTATAATCATTCATTTCACATTGTTTTATATTTACAGACAGTTAGTGTTGATATTGAACAGTTTGGAAGATGTATAGATTCATCCGACTTGAATGCATTCACTTTATCCGATGAAACTGGAGAAAATATCTCATCATCGTCATCATCATTGGTCCCAGTCAGTTCTAATCGTGGTTACTTAGGCTCAATGATTATAGATGCATTCAGGAAGTCAAATACATCTCAGCTTTCTCAGTTGGCCATTTCTGTAAGTTTCTTGACTTTTATTGTTTTATTTATTGAAAGTATTGTTATTATTATTGTTGTTTACGTATGTTTACCTTTCCTGTTGATTGATTACCTCAAGCCGAAATATTCGGTCTCTGTTGACAGTGTTGGCTCTTAGTATGGAGGCTTCGACGATATCGGAAGTTAAATATAGTGTTATATTTTGGTTAAGGGTGATAGGGTGCTCGTTTCCTCCTCTTCGAGATTTGTCGGCCGGATGTACCTGTATCCTAGTATGATAGTGTTCCCACTGAGACTCGAACTCTGCACCCATCGTTTCAAAGGCCAAGGAGTTATCCACTAGGCCACGGGAGTCAGCTCATGTATTTCAACAGACATGGTTTGGGTGGTGACTAGTTAATCTAGAGCTCAATTACTCCTGCTTTATATTGTGAACAGTCAGGAGTTGGGAAACAGGCTTCATTAGATTTCTAACCTAATCGTTAGGCAGTAACCTACTTCATGAGTTGGATTTTTCCGCTTTTGCCCGAGATGCCATTATAGATTGGTGATGCTGAAGAGTTTCGACTTTAGCAGAGATAACTAGCTAGTGCTCTTTGGTTTTCAGTGGTTCTGTTGCTGATGTCAGTTAGTGATGGAAAGTATTTTGAGTTTTTACCTTGATCAAATGTTATATTTTGTTGAGTGTGATTAGTCCATTTTGTTCAATTTGCTGTAAAACGTCTCATGATTGATCGATTGATTGTGAGCCTACATCCATGGTAGCGTCGTCTATTATACCAGTGGAGAGACATCTTATCCTTATCTTTCTGTAAATTCAAATACTTTAAGAATTATTAATAAACTGAGATCATCTTTTTACAGAAATCATTTAAACGGTGTATTCGTCTTTAAACAATTCAAGGTTTAGGAATCTAGTTTCGTTTTATCCACTGATATATTTGTATGATTAATGAGCCAGGATGAAAATATTTAGTGATAACAGCTTTAAATATCAATTACTGACTGTCAGTTAATTTGCTGAAGTTCTTCTGTATTCCCGTTGATTGATGTTTACTGAACCGAAATACTCGGGTTCTGTTGAAATTTTGGCTCCCTAGTATGTGAATGCTTCGATGATGCCTCAAAGTTACTGTGATGTTAACTAACTAATGTTGACTAGTAGTTTCAACAGAAAACAAGCATTTCTGTCTACTAAAGATAAATCAACGAGAAACACAAATACCATCTGATATCTGTTGCACTTTGGCTTCTGAAAGGATGGGTACTGGATCAGGGATTCATTGAGAACACTACCAATCACTGAGGATAGAGGTACACCTAACTAGCGAGTTCCAAATAGGACCGAACGCATCCCTTGGATTCCACTACCAGATACAATTACAAACATTTCTTGAGAAAAAAGTTTGACTTTCAGGATAAAGATACTCTATGTGTAGTCTGAAAGACTGTGAATAAGCTTTAGTCGGGTTCCATTGTTTTGTACGCCTATCTTGCATAGCATAACTTAGTTATAAGGTCGGAATAATGCAAGTGTGTATAGGAATTTTAATTGGATGGAGGATTTCATCATGAGCTGGCATAAGTTAGAGAACCACTGGAAAACCTGGGAGTACTGGACAGCTGTTCCGTCCTAGTTTGGGACTCTTCATCAGTACGCACCCACCGGCAGGGTTCGAACCCACAACCTTCTGGTTACAAGGCTAGCGAGGTCGTAGACCATTGAGCCACTGGAACCCGATCCAGTGGCCCATGAATTCTAACTTCTGCCAATTCGCGACCATTTCGAAATGTCTTCTTCGAAGAGTTACTGCTTCATTTTCAACCTGCTGTACCCTACGGTTGGTCACGGCTTCCCGCTAGAATTTTGACAATTTAGAGTTTTCATATTTTAATTGTATTCACCGTTCATTTATTCTGTTCGCTATTCTTCTTGTGTATATATATTTCACAGATTCTTGGTGCTTGTGGTCAAAATTTGCCTTATAAACACTCTTGTCTGACGAATACAGATGATCAGGATAAAATGCTTACACCATATTCTTCTTCAAATAGTCATCATCAACATCATCGCTCAAATAACAATGTTCATGATAAGAACAGTAATGCTAACATTAATGATACAACAAATGATAAGAATAATGATAACAGAACAAATGAATCACAAACTTATTCTTTACCATTAACAATATTAAAATCTTATATTGGCAAATCAGAAGAATTATGGTTTACAGTTTATCAACAAATGCATAATGCTGATACAGTGCTAAATATCTCTGTTATTGAATCGTTAAAAATGATATTTCGTTATACTCTACCTGCTTTAATACTTCTTGGTAAGTTATAATAAATTCTACGCTTAATATTGTTATTGTATATTCCCTCCTCCACCCCTCCATGCTTTGAAGCTTTTGTAGCGATTGAATTGATTTTCCCGAGTAGGATGACTAGTCCCGTTCGCCGCCCTTTTCCTTTTTTTCCCGAGCTTAGTACTGGTCGGTAAACTAACACATTGAGATTTCAATTTTTTCTGCTGATTTTAATTTTTGAATGAAGTAAGTTGAGTCAGTTTACTTTGGTGTATAAGTTATTTTACTATTTATTGATTTAAAACACAGAACTTGGTAGGACAATACAGACACACAATAATAGTAAAACAATATATATGAGTGAGTAAAGGACTTCATCCGGAAAGGAAGTAAATATATTTCACAAGATTAAACAACATTCGTGGTATTACTATCCGGAAGGGAAAAAAAAAGGAATTGCAGTATTTTTTCCCGCTGATTGTGATTTTTGGCCATATCATTTCGAATCTACCATTTGAACTACCTCTCGGACCTCAACCAGGGAGTCGTAATGTACCAAGCGATGCTAACCTAACACAAATATCCTTCACCCCACGATGCTATACCATAGGCTGGCCACCTCTCACCTTTTTCCATCTTGTCCCAGGGTTAGCGAACAGAGACCGGTACGAAAGCCTCTGGGATGACATTCGTAGCACATGTCCAAGCTACCGAAGCTGTTGTTTCCAGATGAAGACACTCAATGAATGTTGACCTCCACTGTCTAAACAACACAGCTGGACCTCGAACTACGCGCACAACGATACTATCAAACGCAAGCAGTTCTACTGAGACAGTGATGGTCGAACACGCAGAGTTGCCTCACATTCTCAGCTCAGAGAGGCGTAGTTTCACAAGCGTAGAGCAAGACTTAGCACACCAAAGCATTGTAAACCCCGCCCTTTGACAGCCAGGTTGACGTCGCGACAGCTTCAGAGGTGGCTCAGATTGGTGTGTGCTACCCCAGCTTTCACTGTACGGTTAACGATCTCGTCGTCACACGTTCGCCAGCACTCAAACAACTACCGAGATACACGAATTTATCGGTAAGTTCAAGCGATTCACCTGCAAAACTGAATGCATGTATAGGCTCCTGCAATTGCTGTAACAGTACTTTGCACTTAGACGGTGCAAAGCACATACCATACTTACAGACACTGATCGCCAACTGATTAAGTGAGATCTGGATAGCCTGCATGCTACCACACAGTAAGGCGATATCGTCTACATGCTCGGGGCATAAGTTATTTTAACCAACTACTGAACATTGATTGTACATAGCAATGTTGTCTAATTACAGGTAGTCATAGTGCATATATTTTCACCTATTAATAAATTGTTAATTGAATTCATTCGTTGATTGTTTCAATTAGAACTCGAATACATCAATTATCTACGAGACACTTCAAGCTTTGGAGACTTATTTCTCAAGCTGTATTATCAATCTATATGTAAAATTAACTACAGAGTTGTTATTCACTGCATTTCAGCCAGAAGGAACAGTTAGATATAATCAACGTAAAACTTGGAATTGTAACATTTCAGATATTCAGATAAACTTAGTAATTAGAGGGAAGACATAGGAATGAAAACAAAGTATTCAGAAGTCATAAAACTCCATAAAACTAATGAAGAAAAGATAAAATGACACCATCTTTCGCACTGGTGTAGAACAGTAGTCAGTAATTTTAGGCGTTGACCTAATCATTGTTCATGTCTGATTCTACTTTAGTTGATATTGCATTATGGAAGTTGCTCAGCTCATCCAGTGTATGTTCACGATACTACGAATGCAAAGGTAGTGGTTAAATATGTGACAACTTTGGAAATTTAATGCATGAACTCATCATTTTTTACAACCATATAACAAAACAAAAACAATACTATGCAGTGTATTCAACCACTATTGGTGAATTGGATACGTAACTCTAAGTTAGTAGCAAAAAGTCAAAGGTGACTTTTCACGTCTTGGTAACCTTGAGAACCTGTATGTCGTAGAAACATTTTTATGTACTTCAAAGCCTTCATATCAACACTAAGTTTTACATTCTGTAAATACAGGGATATTTTACATTCGTCAGTAGGCTTTCTTCTTACACTTTACTATATTGGTCAGATCAGTTTTATATTAATTTTGAAAGAATCCGTGGCTTAATTACAGTTACCTTTAAATTTTGGTAAATCATGATTTAAAATGTTGTAGGCTTGTTATCCTATGTAGGGTGATAAGATTACAGTAAACACCTGTATATTTCCATAGTAGATAAGTTTATTTTAAGTATCACACAGTGATGCAGTATTAACAACTGGATGACAAAGTTTTGAGCATAAATTATTGCTCATAATCATATCAATTCTTATATGATTATATATATATATATATTCTGTCTCTCCGACTTCCCTTTGTTGTTTTTTGCCACTTTCGGTATCTCCGGCATAGGCGTTGCGTCATTCCGATTGTATGTGTGTGGTGTTGAATCAATCAACAGAGATTCAGCGATTAAATTCTCTCTCCACCTAACTATATTACTTATTAGCGCTTTCATCCTGTCCCACTCTATTGTGTGATTACATGCAAGTGAATGCAGTGCAATGTCTGAGCTTTTCTCTAGGTTATTTAACTTGATCAATTATTCAAGGTCTAGCTAAATTTTTATGTTCCAATAATCTAGTTGACCCTGATCTACTAGTCTGACCTATGTAATTGACCTCACTGACAGTCATTACATGGTATTTGTTTAATTATATTATTTCCCTTAATTGGATCTATTGGGTCCTTAAGCCGATAAAGTTTACCTCTGAGAGAATTGATTGGTTGGTTTAAACGCCACCCTAACTGCAGCCTCATTGAGAATCCTGTGTAAGGTCTCAGAGGTTCCTTTTTTTATACGGCAGTACTACAGAGGCTTTGAATTTCATATTATTTTCGTCATTTTCACCACTAATCCTATTTCTTCTGAGTCTTCATACATTTCTGTATAAATTCTGGTGGGTAGTTATTCGATAGTAATATTCCCTTTATTTGTTTGATTTCATTATTTAAATCTTCTGGCTAACTAGTTAGACAGGCTGCTGGCCCGATTATACATACATTTAACTAAATCTATGTTTACCGATTCTGGATGGGATGAATTAAAGTCTAAGTATTTATTAGAGTATGTTGGTTTCCTATAAATACTAGTATCCAATGCAACATACTGTTTTCGTTTTATTCTACAGTCTAGTACATTCTACCACAGTGCCCAAGTACTACACTTACATTAAACAGCTATGTAGTTTCGGAATATATAAACCCTAACCAATTACAGTGTGATTATTTTAGTCCGTGTAGTTCTAGTGATAAGAAAACAAGTTCATATGATATTTTCATTTAAACAAGTTACTCCTTGAATCAAATTTTTTGCAATTTACACAGTTCGAAGAGATGAAATTTCATTATAAATTCATTTGGAAATTGAAATCATTAAGATCACAAAAAAAACAATAAAAATTTAAGCAAAGAATTTCGTTTTCGATAATTTCCTCTTCCGGCTCTGTAATTATATATATGTTTATGTATATAGAATATTCTAGGATAGTTGTCATTAACAACTTGGGTGTTTTTTAAATAATATCGATTTGTTAAGTAAGATCAGTGGAATTACAGTTCACTAAAGATGCATAAATTATAATAAGCATGCAAATGTCATAGCAAATAGAATATCAAATAGAATTGTGGAAATTTCCATAACAAATTGAGGATCATTAGAACCTTGATTGACGGCCAAGGTAACAACAGTGTCTGAACCAGCTTCTTTTGGATACATTATAAGTTAGGTTTCCTAATATAGATCCCAACAGTCAGTCTCAGCAATATGTAGTAGACGAACTTTTTAGATAAAGTTACGATTAGTTGTTATGTGGTAAATGACTTTGAAAGCCACCTCTTTAACATTAGTCTTGCGTTCTGTATCTACAAGATGAGATATAATAGTGCTTTGAATGGATTTTGTTTGTCCTTTACTTAAAGATAATGCAGGATTATGTTCTGAAATCCGACGAGAAACATGCCTAATTGTTCGGCCTATGCAACTAACTGGCTCCACAGGAGCAGTCAGATCACAGAATGTGATCTGTTTGGTTCTATAAACAAACAACAATCAAGAAAGCAAGTATAAATGCATGTCAATAATTAGACCTTTTAAGTTCGATAGTCGAACTTTTTATTGATCATTTCTTTATTGACTTGTTTTTTTTGTTTTTGTATATTTTAGAACACTTAGTTCCAGACGCATATACACATGGTTCATTGACGAATGAATTATCGTCTACAGAAAAATTTGTCTGTCCATATTGTTCTTCTTCTGGTATCATTAAAAATTCATTGGATCATCGTTGTCTTAATGATACTTTATTTATGATTAGTTGTTTATTTTCTGCTGCATTCATATCCTATTCAGAAGCTTTACAAAGAATTAATCCAGTACATTTAAGTCATCATCATCATCAAATGATGAATAATAATTGTAAAGTAGAAATAACTACTGTTGATACATTTATTATGCAATCAGCTTGTGAACAAAGTAAAATACAAATGGAAAATTATCTACATGCTGCTCTGATGGGACCAGTTAAATTATCACCACCCAGAGTATCATCATCATCATCATCGCCACTATCGTCGTCAGTGAATGAAGAAGTAAGCTATGGAGTATTGTTATACTGTTTTTGCTTATTTTTTTTAAAATGTCTAGTTACTTCACTTTTACTGTGTTAATGCATAGAAAGCTTAGACTATTAGTTGATTTCCAATTGTTAGATGTCTTCATGAACTAACACCGTTTAAAGAGATCATTGAAAATCTACATTTTGGAACTCTTCAGCAGTGTGACCCCACCAGGAGGGGATCAATTCTGAAAATTTCGCTAACCATTCAGGTATTTAGACCCGTACATTTTAACTATGTCAATTCGTGGTATAGCGTGTCACCCTCACCAGTGTTTTCTATGAGAATCCACTTCAACTTGACATAAGGTGGACCCCACTGGTCATGACTTCTCACTAAGACTCCAGGACATCCATCCAGTAGCCAACAATGAGCTGGCGATTGATATTCAGACTACTGGATTTATGGAAAGAAGTCGTGACCAGTGGTTGGTGGGGGGTAACACTATTTCACGGATTAATAAAGTTGGTCACTGAATTCCTACCCAAGTGACTGAATGGTCCCAGATTCGACCTCTGATGAGGTCATAGATAGGCACTTCTGAAGAGTTGCAAAATATGGGACGAAACAGCTGTAAAGTGCTCCCTGGTTGTAAATGACCTCCCTAATTGGCGTTGGTTCGTGTCCAAATTTAACGGTTGAAATTAAATTGATCCAAATCTTCACAATCCGAATAGACCATTAGTATTTAGTGTGTGTATGTATGAATACTGACAATGGGGATACTTTCAAGTGTTGGTTTGCAGGAATCCGATTGGTTTCAAGTTATATCACAAGCCGATTTCAATTTAAAAACCATCAGAATTCAATGAGTACTAGATAGCTGTTTTCTTATGGCTTGGAACTCTTTAGCAGTATGCACCCATAACCCCCTACCAAGGATCTTCATGCTACCGGGTGAGCCCGTTGGCCATTCAGCCACTGGAATGGAATACAGTGGCCCATGGATTGTAACTTCTCCCATATATAGCGCAACAACCAGCTAATGTCATAGATGAGTATTTGTTCTCACATCCAACTTGGTCACAACTTCTCACTAGAACTCTAGGTGACTTCATTCTATAGTCAGTCACTTGTAAGCATTAGATTAATTTTCAGGAGTTGGGTTTTAATAATAATAATAATAGTAGCTTTCTTCAGAACAATGTTTATATAATGTACAGAAGTTTCAGCGGAGTTTATCGCATAATATTTTCCCTTCGTCCATGATTTTCAAATAAAAGATGTGATTGACAATAGATCGTATGACACAGTTCTATCTGATATGAAGCACAAACTAATCTATTATGATGTCTCTTCTTTTTCCCCTTTGAGAAATACACAACATTTTGTTGAATGCCAATTATAAAAGGTTCAGGAGTACTTTTTGTGAACCAAGGACACCACTCAAGAACGGTCATCTCGTGTATTGAGATAAGCCGACGTTGACAATAATGCTTTATCACGTGATTAGTAGAAACTTGTGAACCAGCAGGTTGTAAGTGTTTTAATTACTCGCCGGAGTAATCAATACTATTAGAGGCCATATTTTACTAGATATAAACAAACTGAATCAGAGAAAATACATGCAATATATTGATGGAAGTTTTTCGGTAGCCTAAGTTTTAAGCGCAGTCCGCCAAGATATTGATCGAAGAATCATTGAAAACCAGGAAGTATTCGACAGCTGTTTCATCCTTGTTTCTGGTGCATACTACTGAAGAGTCCTAAAAGCTAGGACGAAACAGCTGTCCCAGATCTCCCTGGTTTCTTGTGGTCCTGTAATGGGAGTCAGTTCTCAGCCTAACTTCAAACATCTAACGACAATATACACACTTTACGTAGAAGACAGGCAATAGTAGTCAGATGATATCAAGGTACGATGGAAGCATTACGTAAACCAGTGCTACTTCAAAGTCATAAGTTGACTGTTGATTGGTTAATCGGAAAAGAAAATTCTAGATTGATAGACCACAATAAGATAATGAGTGATTCCCTACAGAAGCCTTGATAGTGAACTACATGCATACAGTCACATACAAGCATACACATACAGTCATTCAGCCCCACACAGTGAGAATGAACAAAGTGGATTTAGGTAGAGGTTTGATAGTCAAAATTGTGTTCATATTATTTCTCTAAGATGAAGTAATATCCTTCTTTAAATGTCTTAGAAACCCTGCTACCGCTACAAAAATAACACGCCATAAAAAGGAAGTTTAATTGTTGCGAGACTGGGAGCTCAGGAGTAACTTTTGGTATTATAATGAAAAATAAATTCTAGGCGGAACTTTGCCATCTCTGCAAGTAGTCCTGTGTCATCATGCAGTATAACCAATAAGCCTAAAATTCATGTGAAGAATGAAAGTGTGATGGGTATACCGCTGACGGTTAAGTTAAACTTTAAGCGCCACTAACTACCAATCAGCAAATTACCCTGAATGGTCCAATGAGCATCATCCACATAAGTTGAAGGCTATATTCTGCTCGATTCCAGTCAAATATCTGCTCTAATGCAGTTGCGTTTGCAGTTTGGTGAGGATAATGTTTTCCAATAGTGCTTGGATGCGGGTTTGCTTAAAAAGGAGAGGATTTGTTCATGTGTAGGTATCATTAGTATAAAAAGCTTCAGCAGGTCGATCGATGGATATATCCATCGTTGTGAAATTTAATTCCATATTAGTTTGTTTATTAGGTATATCACACAGTGAAACAGTATTATTTACTGGATGACGTTTCGAACAAAATTTATTGTTCATAATCATATCAATTGATATGATTATGAACAATAAATTTTGTTCGAAACGTCATCCAGTAAATAATACTGTTTCACTGTGTGATATACCTAATAAACAAACTAATATGGAATTACTTACTACCACAGTGCCCAAGTTTTACACATATATAGCCTATATAATCATCTTGCATTTTCTATGACTCTGGAGAGAGATATTGGAACACCACTAGAAAAATGATTAGTGGTTTCAGTTCTGGTTAGGAATTAATAGAAATTTGTTTTGTTGATTCAAACAAATGTTTTTACTTGCATAATCGACTATACTACTTAAATTCGCTTCAAATAGTTACATGTACAAGCTAAATATTTATTGTCTAAGTTGTTTTCAATAAGCTACTAGCTTTTATGTAACAGTTTTGTTTTTCTCTTGTAAGAATCGTTGTCTATTATTATTGAAAGTTGAAAAAAAAGATGAAAATCTGTTAGAAAGTATCGCGTGTATTCAAAACGACAATTTGTCTTATAGGCGTGTTGGTGGTGACCCCACTGTGCACGTTATCGTCGTCTGTAAAGTGCTTATAAAGTTTGAATAATTCATACAATACTCAAGTTTAGTTTCTCTAGAAACTAGGGTGTCTTGTAGTTTATCTAGTGGTTGAATCTCTGTTGTAGATAAAATACAGTCATTTATGATGATTGTATGTCAAATCGTTTGAAATAGTTTATTGTATCTGAATTGATCGCTGTATGATAGATAACGTAATCATGTACTTCCATACCTATCTGTTGAGCAGTCACGTGCACGATGTAATCACTAGGATAACTGATAGAATTCAGAGATCACCTTTATTTGAAACCATAAATATAGGAAACTTGAAACTGCCAGATTGTTGTAGATTGTAAATTACCCTAGCTTATAAAAAGGACAACTATTCTTAGGATAACGAAATAGGTATCAGCTTTACTAATACAATGGTTAAGGTCTTAGTATCCTTAATCATATGAAGAGTAAGTAGAGATCAGGAAAGTCAGTTGTAAAAGGAACCAAACAGGTGTTAGACCCAATTGTCGTGTTTTTTAAAAATTGAATTTGAGATTTTCCCGTTGATTGATTGGACCAAAATGCTCGGTCTCAGGTTGACATGTCGGCTTCTTATGCAGATGCTTCTACGATGTCTGGGCATTTAATTAGAATTTAATTTGTTGATGGTGACTAGCAGTGGAATCCAGGATGCGCATTTCGTCCTGTTTGGGACTCGTCATCTGGATGTACCTGCATTTCCCAGTGAGTGATGATGTTCCCACCGAGGCTCTAACCCAGCTGACGAGTCCCAAACAGGACGAAATGCGCATCATGGATTCCACAGCTAGTCACCATCCACAAATTAAATTCCGATTGTCGTTAGTCTGATCATACCTATACTCTTTGATATCTTCCAGACACCGCCAAAAGATATTGCTGTAATGTCTGATTGCGAAGTGACTACTGAGGAGAAATGTATTTATGCTTGTCAAAGCATCCTATGTAACTGTTTAAAAGCTTTTTAACAGTTGCCTATATATATATATATCACTGTACTACCGATGATTCCCAATACTAGGATGAAACAGCTGTCTAGTACTCCCTGGTTTTCAATGTTTCTCTAACTGTTCAAAATCGTAAAAACATATATATATTATATAAGAAGGAAAAAACAAAAACAAGGTTGACATATTACAACTCCAAACATGTAATATTCTATCCTTAAGTAAATGTCATTATTTCTTAAATGAAACCGTTTGATTTTCATTTTAAGGTTACAATAGGCATTGTAACAAGGTTAAATTGTTCACATACATATGTAAATGTTTTCTAGAAGTTAAGACCTGTAACATCAAATGACTGTAAAGACCGTTAGTTTTTTAACTGTCAAAGCGTTTCAATGAAATAAATACTGATGTATAAGAGAAGAAGTGGACGATTGTGATCGTACATAAAACCATGTTATATCCTGTGTGTAAGATACCATCAGACAATAAAATGAATAATCATTCAAGCAACATTTATTGATGATAATCATATTAAAGGCGAATACCTAAGTTTCAGCCTATTATGCTAGGAGTAATAGTGTAACGATAGAAGACAAGGGTCAGGCAACAGATCGTTTATTGAGAAAATCAACAGATATTTATAGATTTTTATGTACATTATTATTCGTTATTGTTAGCAGAGAAGCAACGTCTTCTGATTGGTTGTTTTCTTGCTGAAGGTTTCCTG